CCATCTGGGTCCATGCCCGGCCATGGCCGCCTGGAGCTGCATCGCTGGCTTCCACGCGGCTGCACCAAGGACCGCGCAAATCTGCCTGCAAAAAGGGCAACAGCACGATAGACATGAGGATCTCGGACTTAACTGACGGCCACAACCACGCTCGCCGAGACACGTTTCGATGCTTGGACAGCCAGCTGTATATGTCTTGCAAGACCGAGCGTGCACAGACCCGAAAAGACCGCGCATAACTGAGCTTCCCTACCCAGCGATCCACAATGCCTACCAATGGCCGAGGTTGGCTCAAAATATATAAACCAGACTCCAGCAGTTGAAGGCGTTTTTGCTTGCTCATGCCCACCCAGCCTTCCACCCCATCAACCATGGCCCCCTGCACCTCCTCTCTGAGTTTCCCCTGCACAGCTTTCTTCATATGCTCCTGCACCCCATCGCGTTCCCAGGCCATGGCCATTTTACGAAGCCACTCATGAGCATCTCTGTGTGGATCAGCTTCAGTCTCACACTCATCCAACGCCCAAATGTCATCCAGGATGGAGCCCCAGATGGGAAAGGCAGAAGGCGGAGGCTGTGAATCCACCAGGCGACGTTCTACAGGCAAGCCAACTTGTTGCGCCTTCGCTTCATTGTAGGCCTGCGCCCAGGAGGCCGCAGCAGTGAAGCCCATGGGGACTCCTCTGTGAACAGGATACATCTCATCATACTGGTGCGTAGGGATCAGGGCGGGGTGCGAGAAATACTTTTCCCAACGATGGCCAACACGTAAAAAGTGGAAGAAGTGACGAGCATCCTTCTTGTAAATACGTAACAATCTGCCAGGCTGTAAACGCAAAGTTCTAAGCATTGACATGATTGCAAACCGCGGCTTCCACAACTTTGAAACATCTACCAATGCATTGAGTGGACATAATGCCGAAATTGCACGATCTTCATCCTCATTTTTCGCCACTGCAAACGCTCCACTGTAAAGCGGGCGCCCTTTGAACTTGAAGATGGTCCGCCGCGGCTTCAATTTCTGCAGCCCTGCCTTGATGTTTCGCCTAACATACTCAGGATACGTAGCATGGAGTCTGCAGAAAGGCCGAGGGATTGTTGCCGGCCGTTCAGGCTTCGGGAGCAACAACTCACGAGGATGTTCCACTTGCCGGGCAAGGTCAGGGCTAAACGAGTGCAAAGCTTGGGCTAAGTCCACTTGGGCCGCCCGCTCCGGAACGCCAGCTCGGAGGCCCAGGGGCAAGGCGTGACTCCCTGCTACTCTGTACGAGTGCAGGTCCTCAAGAAGGTACTTTCGAATTGCACGCTCCCCGCTGGCAGAAACTCCACCGCGAAGGAACGAAGATACGGTGTAGAAAATGTTATCCATCAGACGGCGCTGTGCGCCTGATGGCTCCACGCAAGAATACACCACTCGCCCACTGTGCATGAAGTTCAGGCAAGCAATGGTGATATTGACAAACTCCAAAAATGAATTCCGAGCCCTGGCACGCGCCCTCCCTCGCCCCCGCCGTGGCAAGGACCTTCTCCGCATTAACGGCAAAGGGAAGATGTCCTTGGGACTATTGCCTGCATCACGCTTTGCAAGAGGCCCCAAAGACCGCCAGATGCAAGTCCGCAAACTGCCATGTGAACTGAGCACGTAGTTGGACAAAATGTCCACCAGGGTGCCTGCTGAACTGCCTGCGTCCACCGACTTCACGAACCCGGCGACGCGAGCAGATCCACCACTCATGAGCTCATCCCAAACAGGCCGGCCGGCGCCAGGCCTGCACCTTCCTCGGGAATGAGCTCCTTCTTTGCAGCCTTCTCCCAGGTCCCGCCGGAGGCCTTGGCTTCGAGCAGGGCCGTGACACGCATCGCCATCACATCCATAGCCTTCTCCACCTCGTTCTTGTTGATGTGATCCATGACCTGCAGGATTGTCAAGGCTTCGCGCCGGTCGCGAACCTCCTTCAGGCCTGCAGCCCCAGTGGTCACGAACTCCGTCATCTCCACATCGCGCAGCTGACTGGTGCGAACGATGCCTCCCTTCATGAGTTTCTGTCGGATGCCATTGACGAAATTGGCAGTCAATGCCCCCGGATGCTTTGCTGCGAAGATCAAGAGGTCGGAGCGTTTCTTGAATTTCTGTGTGTCTAGCTTGCCCATTGAGACTGCGTCCACCTTCTTGTTGCGGCCTTTCAGCTTCCATCGGACAAAGCTGCTGCTGGAGCCACTGCTCCCCGAAGAGGAGCTGGAAGAGCTCGAGTTTTTGCGTCGGCGGGCCTTCTGCTTCTTGGATTCGCTGCTCCGACTCCGACTCTTGCGGCTGCTTTTCTTCTTCTTCTTCTTGGATGTTTTCTTGTCCTTCTTGGCCCTGCCTTTTTCCTCTTCCATCTCCGTTCGAAGAGCATTCACCACTTCGGCTAGCTGCTTGAGCTCCAGCGCGTTGGGCGCTTCTTGGGGGCCTAAACCGCCCACCGCTGCGCCCTGAACAGCGGGAGCTGCTACCGGGTCTGGGGCTCGAGGTACGAGCTCCACCAGGTCTCGCTCCGCGCCCGCCACGTGCCTGGGCGGAGCCACACTCTCTGCCTTGACGATGTCGAGGATCATCCGCCCCTCGCCGCAGATGTTGACCAGCTGGGGAGCGGTGGGGGCCCACTTGACTCCTACGTTGGCAGGGTTGCACATCCAGTTCACTTGATTGTCTCTCAAGCCAATAGGAGTCGTGCGCCCGGCATCGCGGCCCTCGACTCCACGAAAGTTGCCAAGGGTCAAACGCACTAGAGTCCACATGAAACGTCCTCCATCGGGCGTGGTTGTGTAGCAGAGCCATTCAGACCCTTCACAGTGTTGCACAAGCAAGACCTCATCCCACTCGTTGCCTCTGGCAATGAGCACAAAACTCCCAGCATCCATAAGCCCCTGTAAGGTAAATGCCGAATGGTCTTGCAAAGCTACGGATGCTAGAGCTGACTCTGGCTTGCAGCGGCAGATAAGTGTTTGGACAAAGCCGTCACACAAGAATGTGTTAGTTTTCGCAATACAATGAACACACGTCTGCACCACCAAAACTAGAAGCTGCAGGACCCAATGAAAAAGTGTCACGATGGTAGCAATGAGGTTCAATAAGTTGAAAATCACGACCACAATGACCGGCAATAAATAGATTGTTGCGCCGATGAGCCTGGTTCGCAATATCAGTTCAGCAATCTGTGACCTCCAGCGTGCCTGAACAAATGCTATTATCAGCTGTCCAAGTTCAGCCAAGCAGGAAATCAAATGGGTCCTCCACGTCAAACCAGTAGTTCCGATGATGGCAATGGCAGTTGCACGAGGAATGTACATGCAAGCCGGCCTTCAGCTCAGGTCTACCTATACAAAACCTTCAACCAAAATGGCCACAAGTGCCAATCAACAGATCAAGTGAATACATGTCCCTGCACTAAAAGAATCGTGACTGCAGGCGACAGCATCACTAGCCCATAATATATATAATATAATAAATATATATATAATATATAATATATATATAATATAATATAAAATATATATTGTATATAATATATATAAATATATATATATATATATATATATTTATATTATATTATATATATATATATATTATATATTATATATATATTATATATATTATATATATTATATATATATATATATATATATATTATATATATATATCATTATATATAATATACATATAATATATATATATATATAAAATATATAATATATAATATTAATATAAATATATAATATATATCACATAGATATACAATATAATATATATATATATATATAATAATATATATATAATATATAAAATATATATAATATAATATATATAATATATATAATATAAAATATAATAATTATACATATAATATATATATAAATATAATATATAATAATAACATAATACATAATACATAAGGCATAAAAAATATATAATAAATTCATCATAATTCATAATATACATAATACATAATAGTGTACAATAAACATAAAACATAATATATAATTCATAATACATAATTAATACATAATACATAATACATAATACATAATACATAATACATAATACATAAAACATAATACATACTACATAATACATATTACATAATGCATAATATATAATATATAATATATAATATATAATATATAATATATGATATATAATATATAATATATAATATATAGTATATAATATATAATATATAATATATAATATATAATATATAATGTATAATATATAATAGGTAATGTGTCATGTAATGTGAATTATGTAATATGTATATATATGCACATACATACATACATACATACATACATACATACATACATACATACATACATACATACATATATACACACGTTGACCTTCACTATCGTGTGTGTATATAATATATATTTATATTTATTGATTTTTACTTGTTTGTTTAATTTAATGATGTATTTATACACATAGGACCCGCAGGACCAGGCGGACAGACAAGCAGACCAGAGGACCAGAGGACCAGGGGACCACAAGACCAGGGGACCACGGGACCAGGGGACCACGGACCACGGCCAGAGGACCACGGGACCAGAGGACCACGGGACCAGAGGACCACGCAGGTGGGCCGGATGGCTTATTTTTTTTTTGATGCTTATTATTTTTTTTTTGATCCCTATTATTTTTCTTTTTGATGCTTATTATTTTTTTTTTGATGCCTATGCCGTAATTCATGGCCCATGCAGCGGACGAGCGGACTGTACCAAGTCACTATAAACCCGAATAAGGCCGGCAACCCAAGCCCTAAACCCTGAAAGCTGAAACCCTACTGAAGCGTGGACTGAGGTCGGCGCCAGAAACCCTAAACCCTAAGATGCCCTAACGCCTAAACCCGAAACCCTAAACCCTAAACCCTAAACCCTAAACCCTAAACCCTAAACCCTAAACCCTAAACCCTAAACCCTAAACCCTAAACCCTAAACCCTACCCGACGATCCCAAGGGGCCTGCTCGGCGGACTCGCGCGCGCGGCCGAAGCGGCGCCACGCCAACGAAGGCGCCCCTGGTCCGGTGAGTGCTGACTGTTTAGGGTTTAGGGCTTTGGGCTTTGGGCTTAGGGTTTAAGTGTTTTGGGATGTTTTGGTAGGGTTTGGTTTCAAGCGTTTTGTTCCTGTTGGCAGTTGCTGTCTGTCGATCTTTGTAGGGCTTAAGAAGCTTCAGCACGCGCATGGCTTCAGGGTGGGTAGCCTTGGGCTCAGCTACGAAACCCTGTGAACACAATAAACCCTAGCGGTTCAGGGTTCAGGGTTTCGGGTTTAGGGCTTAGGATAAGACCTAAAACTATAAACCCTATAAGCACAGTACACCCTAAATCCCTTCCCCCTCATATTAAGCACCCCCTACCCCAAATTATCTACGACTCCCCATGTACAATAATATAACTACACCGGGAGAATTTAATGTTGCGGGGCAGGAATGAACATTAAAGGGAGGGGACTGTCATCTATAAGAATCCCCATCCAGCTGAGCTTTCAAGCGCCTGGAGGTATCTGCAGAATTTAGGAGTTTAGGGCTTAGGGCTTAGGGTTTAGGATTTAGGGTTTAGGGCTTCGGGCTTAGGGCTTAGGATTTGGGGTTTAGGGTTTAGGTTTAGGGCTAGGGTTTAGCCCCAGAGGCCGGCCAAAGACCCCACTTGGGCGACCCGGCCCGGGCCACCAGGGGGCCAGGAGAAGGAGAGGCCATGCCGCGCGCATGGCTCCCGCTTTCATGGGGCTACAGGAGGGACCCCGAAACTAGGGACCTTCGGGTTTAGGGTTTAGGGTTTAGGGCTTAGGGTTTAGGGTTTCGGGTTTAGGGTTTAGGGTTTAGGGTTACAGCAAGACTTGGGATGTTTTTTCCTTATACTGACAGGGTTTAGGGCTTAAGGTTAAGGGTTTAGGGTTTGGGGTCCTATAGGGTGTAAGGTTTTGGGTTTACAGTTTGGGGTTTAGGAGAACCTAGGAATAAGAAGGGTGAGGGCCTAGACAGAGCTCCTTTGGGCCCAAGCAGGGCCTTTGAGCTTCAGGGTCTACAAGGGCAAGGTTTTGGGTTTTGGGGGGAGGTCTATTACGGATGTCGGATTTGGTTTTGGAGGTTTTTTAGGGTTTTCAAGGGTTTCAGGGGGTTTTAGGGGGTTGAAAGGGTTTGTTTGGGACCAAGTTTGGGATGAGTTGGGGTTTAGGGTTTAGGGTTTAGGCCCCCGCTGGCTTCAGCTCCTGTTTGGGTCCTGGTGCTACCCCCTACCCCCCCCCCCTCCCCCCCCCAACGTTTCACAGAGGCTCAAGCAAAGCAACTTTTGGTGACGAGCGCGTTTAAACCTTTCAACTATGCTCCAGCGGGGTCGGCGGCTTGAGCCGGAGGCTCTTAAATTTAGGGTTCAGGGTTCAGGGTTCAGGGTTCAGGGTTCAGGGTTCAGGGGTTCAGGTCGAGGGCTCCTACTTTCTGGGAGAAAAGCCCAAACCCCCAAACTTCCGCCCTAAACCCTAAGCCCTAAGTAGGGTTTAGGGTTTAGGGTTTAGGGTTTAGGGTTTAGGGTTTAGGGTTTAGGGTTTAGGGTTTAGGGTTTAGGGTTTAGGGTTTAGGGTTTAGGGTTTAGGGTTTAGGGTTTAGGCCTATACACCATAGAAGTTCACCTCACCCCCATCTTGCACCCTGCCTAAGTCCTATAGACACTAAAGCCCAAACCCTGAAAACAAAGCTATGAACTGCGACCTGAACGCAAAAACGCAAATCCTCAGACCGGTTGCTCCCCTGGGGTTTAGGGATTAGGGTTTAGGGTTTAGGGAGTTTGGGATGTTTTGGCCCCAAACCCAAGTACCTCAACTACTACTTGCAAAATACGAAACCAATGATCCGTATATTGCCTTTATGAGGAAAACAATTCCCGTTTTGCGGGGGGTCTCGTAGGCAAACATAGTACTCAAGAAACCCAACATCCACAAGAGCTCTAAAACCCTGAATGACAGAACCTCACACCCCAAACCCTAAACCCCAAACCCCCAACCCTCAACCCTAGACCCTAAACCCTAAGGCCTAAGCCCTAAACCCTAAACCCTGAACCCTAAACCCTAAACCCTAAACCCTAAACCCTGAAACCCTAAACCCTAAATAAACCCTAAACCCTAGAGCCCAAGGCTGCCAAGTTGATCCGGACCTGCTGAATCTCCTTCTGCAGGGTGCCAAACTTCTCCATGGCCTGGTTCAGGGTTCAGGGTTCAGGGTTCAGGGTTCAGGGTTCAGGGTTCAGGGTTCAGGGTTCAGGGTTTAGGGTTTAGGGTTTAGGGTTTAGGGTTTAGGGTTTAGGGTTTAGGGTTTAGGGTTTAGGGTAGCATTTTCTAGCTTTCACCAGTCTCAAGCAGCTTTTCGAGCCCACGGGAAATACCCTCCCACACAAAGAATCCCAGAAGATTAAGAAAGTACAAACTGCAGTCTATCCACTCCCAGCAGGCCCTAAGCTCTAAAGCCCAACGCCCAGTAGACCCTAACCCGTACACCCTACACCCTAAACCTAAACCCTAAACCCTAAACCCTAAACCCTAAACCCTAAACACCCCTACACCCAAGGCCCACAAACCCTAAACCCAAAAGCCCTAAGTCGCCCCCAAACCCTAGGGGTTTAGGCTTAGGCTTTAGGCTTGGGGGTTTAGGGTTCAGAGGGCTTAGGGTTTAGGGTTTAGGGTTTAGGGTTTAGGGTTTAAGGTTTAGGGCTTAGGCTTGGCGCTTGGGGATTAGGGCCTCGGGCTTAGGGCTTGGGGTTCAGGGTTCAGGGTTCAGGGTTCAGGGTTCAGGGGTCAGGGGTCAGGGTTCAGGGTTTAGGGTTTAGGGATTTCAGGGTGTAGAGTTCTTTTAACGCTACACCCTAGAGAGACCCTGAACATCCACTTGAGGCTGCGGGGCACGTCACTCCACCCAGCCTGCCGTGCTTGAGACATCGCCACCTTGTGAGCACAGATGTTTTTGACCTCACCTGAGCACAACTCAGGGGCAGCAGCGTGGAAAAAACACAACCTTTGGGATATTTCGGTGGTTTAGGATGCTTATCTGCTATGAGCATCTAGTTGTACTATGGGCTATTACCCTAAACCCTAAACCATAAAACCATAAGCCCTAAACCCTAAACCCAAAACCCATGACTTCACGATTGTCTATGAGAAGGTTTCCGGCATTGAGTATTCTGGGCTTAGAGACACAGCTTAGGGGGCCCGGGAAGCCAAAGGGCCAGGAAGTTGACGCTCAAACCAGTGCGTCGGCTGAGGGTTTCGGGTTTAAGGTTTCGGGTTTAAGGTTTAGGGTTTAGGGTTTAGGGTTTAGGGTTTAGGGTTTAGGACTTGGGGTTTAGGGCTTCGGGTTTAGGGTTTAGGGCTCAGCGCCACTCTGCGAGTCGACAAATGCAGTCAATGCAACACACTGCAGGGGAGTTGAAACATCGAAGCCCCTGAACATTTGCACCCTCAACCTGCTTAGCCACTCTTCCTAAACCCTAAGCCCTAAACCCTAAACTTGAAACACCAAGCTCCAACCGTGGAAAGGAGGAAGAAACCCACAACCCGAAGCCCTACACCCTAATCCCGCCACGGGCACGCTCTTGGGTCTGCATCACATGCCTAAGCTCATGGTGGAGTTGTTGAGATCTAGGGCTTACAGTAGGGTTTGGGGCTTTCGGGCTTTAGGGCAGAGGGCCTACTGTAAGAGTTTAGGGCTTTAGGGCTTTAAGAATTTCAGGTTGCGAGCTGTAGGGATTCTTGTGACTTGCTTGAGGCTCATACTTGAGAGAGTGGGGAAGGTTGGCGCTTAGGCAGGCTTGTTGGCCGAGCAATGTGATACTGAAGCGTGCTGCCGGGTTTAAGATTTAGGATTTCGGGTTGAGGGTTTAGCCTGGTCAGCAGCCGGAGTGAGACGTCGCGCAAGTTGAGTACCCTGGTGCTGTTGCAAGCGGATTGCGAGGCTTGAGTGAAAGGCCTGCAGGAGCTTTCGTTTCTCCTTGGCCTCGGCCTTGGAGCTGGCTTTCAGGGCACTGAGCCTCTCTGACGCGGTACTTGCGGAGTTCGCCCGCGCCCCGTTCGCGCGTACCACCGGCGCGACGCCGCCCCATGGATGCGGACAGGGTTTGCGGCTTTTAACCCAGGAGCTTTTTGACCTGGACCTGGACGCCACATCTGGTGTGGCATTTGGCATTCGGCAGGAGTCTTACTAGGGTTTTAAGTTTAGGTATAGGCTTTTTAGATGGGGGGCTTTGTCGGGGCTTCTGCTTCGGGTTACTTTTGGAGATTGTGGGTGGGACTGGTGCGTGATTGAGGATTTAAGTGTTTAAGGGGTTTAGGACTTTGAGGTTTTGGGTGCTGCTATTTCTATGAAAAGTCCCAGGATCCCAAACCATGATCAGATAAAGCCCTGAAGCCCTTAAACCCGAATCCCCTAAAACGCTTGAACCCCTTAAACCCCTTAAACCCAAACTTCCGAGTTCGAGGGAATTCCAGAACGAACCTTCCCCCGATATATGGTCACATGTCTGTACTGTGCTTGTCCCTTTTGGGGGTCACTATTCTACGGCGGCCCCGAATATCCCAAAGGGTCCATTTACCTTAATAAGGAATACTTGGGCCTTAAAGTACCTCCTATTTGGGGACTTTAGGGCCCAAGTACATAATAATCAGGTACATGGACCCTTAGGGTATTTAGGGCACCCGAAAAGAGACCGTACTTCTGAGAACGTCCCCTGAAACCCTAAACCCTAAACCCTAAACCCTAAACCCTAAACCCTAAACCCTAAACCCTAAACCCTAAACCCTAAACCCTAAACCCTAAACCCTAAACCCTCTGAATCCCTACTAAGAACCAAGAAGCAACAGCCCTAAACCCCCGAAACTGCTAGACGTCCTGATGCCGCTCCAAGCACTGAAGCTGCAGTTTAGGGTTTCGGGTTCAGGGTTCAGGGCCTAGGGTTTAGGGTTGAGAGTTTAGGGTTTAGGGTTTAGGGTTTAGGGTTTAGGCAAAGGGCGGATGGTCCAAGATATGCAGCCGGTATAAGGTGAACCTTACTAAGTAAAGCTAGACCCAAGAAGTAACCAAGGAATAGAAAGGGGGCTTATGAGGGGACCTCAACCCTAACAAAGGTGGAATAAGGGCCTACTCTGAGTCCTGGCTTAGGTAGGCCCTGTTTGGGTTTAAGAGGATCATGCTGAGGAATATTGTTCAGAGGGATTACAGGGCCAACTTAGTAGGCTTTGCGGTACCCTTGTGCCTACAGTTTCACTATAGATGTGAGCAAGCTGGTGCTCAAAACCCTAAACCTATCCTAAACCCGCAACCCATTAGCCCTGAACCCTAAGCCCTAAACTCTAAAGCCTAACCTCCTAGGCCGACACCCCAAAACCCTAAACCCTCAACCCCTAAATCCCTCGATCTCAAACCCTTTAAAAACCTAAACCCCCTTAACCAAAAAAAAACTTCTACCCCTAAACCCCTGAACCCCTAAACCCTAAACCCTAAACCCTGAACCCCAAACCCTAAACCCTAAACCCTAAACCCTAAACCCTAAACCCTAAACCGCCGAAGCCGAGCCATGCCAAGGGATTCTTAGAGAGTCCTGAAAAGCCAGGAGGCGGCGTCTTCCGCCCCTTCGTGGACTTGTAGGCCCTCTTGATGTTGGCCCCTTGTAGCATAAAAAACCCTAAACCCTAAACCCTAAACCCTAAACCCTAAACCCATTTAAGGG